GGAGTCTGTCAGGACGCAGCTTTCCTCGACGTGCTTCTTCCCACGCGTACACACCACACGAACAGCGTCTTCACTTCTTGCCACCGCCGCCGTTTGCTTCTCGTGGTTTGACGACGAGAAGTGACGTCTAGTGACTAGTACTTTCGGAGACGCTAAACGTCATCAATGCGATGACTTTCAATTTGTGCTTTGGTCAACAATGCATGTGTCAGAGCGAGGGAACGTCGTCGTGGGTTGCGAACATCCTCCAGCGTTCTCCGGGCGCTTTCAACCGTCGGAAACGAGCAACGTCCCTGCCACATTTACATACACCAAAACGATTCGTTTCGGCGTTGTTCGGAGAGACGACATCTCGATCGGCTCGTCGCCGCCCTCGCAGAAACACTTGTAGGCCATGCGCAACCTGGACGGCTTTCGGATGAGCTGACGGTGCGAATGGTGTCAACATCAGAGAGGATATTTTGAGTCATCACCACGACGACCTGTCCACGTTCGGGACGGGGGACAATGCGCGGCCGTGTTGTAGCACGGCGATTGATTCCGTCCGCCATGCTGTTATCGTGGATCCCATGGAGGAGACTCCAGGTGCCCAAGTGCCGTGTAATTGAAGCGCCAAGTACGATCCAGGAATATCTTACCGCCCTTTCGATGTGGAATGCACGACCCCTCACGTCGCACCTTTCTCGTCTTGCCGTGGCTTCAGCAAACAGTCGGACATTCCCAGTACGTCCCCTGGCAAGCAAGTTCACGTGAACGGTGGCTGCTACAGCACGGAATTCCGTTTTGTGTCGCGAAGTGGCTTGCCATATACACCGCCGTATGTTGTCCAAACGAAATGCAAGGCATGCTCTCATGCCTTGTTGTGCGCTGTCAGCGCATGATGAATGATGTGGTCCCTCCCACACCCTATCCGCGTGTTATACGGCCAGCTCGAGCACGCCTGTTCACGGATGTATCGATACGTTTGAGTGCATTGGTTTCGCTGGCAGTCGTTTGCAGCGATCCGCGTCTGCTCGTAGAAGTGACTTGAACCCCCCCCCCGCTTGGGTCAAGTTTGAAGCACACTCGTGACTTCCATGGACTGGTCATTTCTTTTCACGTGTCGGTGCACCCTGGTTTGTCGACAATTTCAAGTCTCACACGCACCCACGAGTCGGTCTCGAGTATTTTATTCCCACGTGGAGCTCATGGCAGGTCTCAACGTTGCGGTCGATATCGTGGCGCCGGTCTTGGCATGATCACTGCCCCCCCCCGCCACACGTCATGTATAAGCGCTTGCCAACGTACTGCTCACTCTCCATGGAGACGGCCCATCACCCCCTCAGCAGTGAGATTGAGAAATGATCGCATGCGATAAACTAGCGATTCGTTCACAGCTAGAAAACACCGAGGCAAGAGGTTGCTGAGTTGAGTTTGTCCCGCGGTAGCACCAAGCGTTCGCTTTATTTT